AAAGCGAGAACAAAAAACAAGTTGATAAAAGATCATAGTCAATAAACAGTTTATTGTTGTATGAAGTTAGTCTACCGAAAACTATTCGGAAAACATGAATGTTTTCAGAGTGAACTTGACTGAACGGTGAGAGCTCCCGAAATCAATCATATTTGCACCAATCTCAATACGAAATGACAAGCTCCCAATGTTAACTCCTGCTGCGCGTACTTTCACATATAGACACAGTGTAATTCCATACCTTGCTCGTTTACCGGGTAATCGACAGAATATTCTAACCCACCTCGGGGAAAGACTCGTGCACTGATTTTCCTCTCGCTTACTAAAGTGTAGAATTTTTTATACTGTCTACTTTTCGTTTGTAATTGATTTTATCTATCCAATGAAAAAAGGTCGTAAATTGCTGAAAATTCACCCATAAAGCGCTTCTTGTTTTGATTTGGCTTGGCTTGACAAGCCCACATATTGTCAACCATCCTTTGTGTCAGCACAGAGCTTCTCTGTGAAGAACTCGTATGAAGCCCATCAGTGTAAACACAACCAACAATGATGATTATAGTAATTAAACAAGATAATAATAGTATTCCGTCAGTTCAAATTAGGTCAGGTTACCTCTGCTATCGCACTGGGTCCTGCTGCCCTGGAATCACTAAGTCATTTCAGCATTTAGCAAGTGATTGTGATTTTATCACGGTAAATATCTAGCTCAAATGCTACTCTGCAATTCCAAATGAACATTTATATTGTTCAACCGACAATAAGGTTTGGTATTGCTCTCGACATTTGAGGTGGTATGTATCCAAGGAAATGGAACTGAGCATCACACACCAAACTATTGTAACATCGCGTAGAAACAGTAGTACTTTGTCATTCTTCTTGTACATAGTCTATGCTATATATGCTATGGTTGGTAAGAAAGTGGTACATCTGTTAAATTAACCGTAATACCCCATTTTCATTTAATAACAAACCCACATACAGATCTGGGCGTTCCATTATTGACAAGTATCAGGTTGAACAAAAGCTTACGTAAGCTCAGCCTCGAGTTCTCGGAAATCCCCGGAGCAACTGAGTACACCGTAATTTTTTTCAAAGGCATCACTGTGCACCAAATTTTTCGCCTGGCACCGGGACAACGAGAAATCAACAATGTTGACTGTTTATATTGTTCCATTGCCATCCGCTCAGTTCGGAATGAAGTGAAGGGTCACTTTTCTATTGGAAGAACTCCGAGAGGTATGCTCAACAGTTTGTATTCCATACATTTACATGCAACTAGAAACTGTTCATTTTTGTCGATTTGGCTTAATTAGAACAGATGTTTTATTCAGTATCAACAACATTGCTAAATAAATTCTGGTGTATGATGAAAAACTAGTAACTGCTTGTCGGAGATACCAGTTACCAGATGTATGTTTACCACATCCGTATTAATAATATCTATCTATCCATCTATATAAATATATATATATATATCACATCCAAAGAATTTACGTTTCATAAGTCTTCTATCCAAATCGCATAGACTATAGTTTCCACATACACAGTGTGGGAGTTTGCGAATAACCGTTACACAAATAAACTCAGAAATGACGACTGTACAAGAATCGCTTATTTCAACTTGCACCACTAGGACTTGATTACCGGATATTATTGTTGTTGGTGCAAACTGTAAAGACCAAATGACAGAACCTGTGTGTGTTTTCTTCTGTATACGTGCACCACATAACACTGGTAGAGATCGCAAACCTGGCGGATTAACCGGCAAAATTAAATTGAAAAAAAAAGAGACAAACTTATGTTTTCCTATCCTTCTCTCCCCCCCCCATCCCGAAAAAATTATACAACAGTGTTTTGCAGGTGCAAAATTCTGAATTCTTTTTCAGCCTAAAGAGAACTTTATAAGAACAAGCAGAAAGTAGTAAACTCAACAATGAATACACCGAAAGCAGAAAAGCAGTCTCAAAAACGAGTGGAATAATAAATAAATAAAAACGTTTTAACACTTATATATTTAGTTTTTCTTTGAATAGAACCATATCAGGAAAAAAATGCATTCACCGCAGCAAATCGCGTATTGTATTCAACTCCAGGCAACTTTTATCACTTCTGTCCAAGAATAAATTGTCTTTTTATGCCGTCTCTTTATGTGTGTACTTATTCACCTGTTCCTGTGGGGCAAGATACATTGGTCGAACGAGCGGACGTTTATCTGAACAAGTCCGTGAGCACTACCGGGCCTGGTTGAACAGTGGAGTAATTAGGACCAATAAAAGCTCAATCGTTTCACACCTGGTGGATTCAAACCACGCAGCAAATGTGAACGAGGTGTTTCCACTCCTCTACTTAGTTTCCACCGGTCGATCTAAAAGGATGAGGAGCCTCATTTTGGGTGCGGAGGCGATCGACATCCACGCAAACATACACACCGCCTATGCTCTCCAAAAATGAACAATTCCCAAGAACACTCGGTCTTCCATGGCCAACACCACACACTCCACAGCCATTCCACCACCCACCCCTTATGACCCGAACCAGTGCACATGTGTGACGACCAATGCGTGAGCAACATCTGGTCATTGAACTGGAATGTGGATTATCTCTTTTCCAACGTGTCATGATTTCTGTCCCCCCCTCATAAACAGTTAGATATAAATTGTGATGTATTAACCGATAGAAGAATCGCCGCAAACGAGCATTTTTGCTACGTTGTATTTTCTTACGAAGACCCAGTGCTTTAACGTTTGTCTACCTATTTCAGTGTCGGACAACGGGATCGTCAAAATAATCCAAGCTACGTTCAACAAAAACGTCTTACATGTAACCGCGGAATACAAAATCCAGACTCTGTGGGTCAGAACCGCCTCAGAAATCAAAACATTCCAAGTAGCCTATCGCATGTCCTTAGTGGCTATCACTGAGCAGCCGGAAGCTGTGAGGGCGGATGATGGACCTTGGCATAGTGTCCTAGTGACCAGTAAGTCATCTGTACAGTGGAGTAAATTTTTATCTAAAATTACCTACACATACATACATGTATGTATATGCATTGACCAGATTCGTGCAACATCCTGATTTTCATCACATGTGTTCTTCTCAATGCATCGTTTTTCAAGGCTCATTCATGCGATTGGATTGATCCACACCAGAAGCAACATATCTCATATAGTACCCACATATGTCTCTGCTTCTGTTAGCCACATGCCATTGGTTGCTGGTGCATCAGTTGTAAAATAACATATTCACACTAGAAAACGTTACTCGAATTCATTTATTATTATTAACAAAAAACGAGTATGAAATATTCCGGCAGTAGATCAGCCCACTCATCGATTTTGCCGGTAAGCGATATTCGAGCAAATGTGCGTAAGCTGCATTTATCTGTGATGACGGAACATTATCCAATTTTAGTCACTGCAGGGTCCTGAATGTCTCAACAGATTTCCGCGTAAGTATTGGATATTTATTGACAGCAAACTGCTCAATTAATATGATAGACAGAACCATCCCAACCTCGAACGGGTTTATCGGGATTTGGTGCGTAACCAACAGGCAAATATTAGGCACCGCAACCAGGGCAGCTGAACCGGATATTCTGTATTTGACCAAACTCGTGCAACATCCTGGTTTTCATCACATTTGTTCCTCTCAATGATTCATTTTTCCAGCCTCATTCATAGGATTGAACATAACATTGCCCCATATCAGGTGCAACATATTAACACATATTAACCAAATGCCTCTGTACAATTTCAAGATTTTGACAATGGTTGCTGGTGTATCAGTTGTAAAATAACAAAGTCACAGCAGAAAACGTAACTGGAATTTATTTATTAAAATGACTCAAAGACTTTACACAGGTATTGTTCTTTCAGTTCGTCCATGTTCCATTTGTCCTTCTTAAATTTTGAGCACTGCAGGCAGTTGCTTTAGCATGGAATCCACCAGGTTGACTGTCAAACAGAATTTACCAGTTCCCTCTAATACACCGCGAAACCTAAACCACTGACAGCCAATGTCGAGGCAGCTAAATTGTCCCTGTTTCTGATATAGGGAAAAGTTTTTGATAATAATAATACAATCCCAGATACGGCGCGGTAATTGAATGAATTTTTCATGGAAAGTGATCGCTCCAGAGACTGCATGAATGTGAAAAATAACAATTAATGAGGTTTAACCGTTTTCCATTACCAACCTCAAGCGAGAAGATATTTTAACCTTCATCTGTGAAAAATATGACTTCCGCGAACACATTCAAAAAGTAGCAGTTAACGAAAGCCTCCCTTATCGGTGCAAAAGATTTTGCAATATCCAGATTAGCGTGTGCATGAGACCAGTAACAAAGCACTCGGTATATTTACATATAAGTCCATTCTACAATGGTTCATTATCTCTGCAAGCTTGGTTGTATTGTCTTCCAGAAAATGCTGTCTCACAAATTAGGTATCTTTTATCTTTGTTTCACTTAGATAAAGTTTATTAGTAAGATTGTATGTTGCCATATTATTCTTTCAAAATATTTGACAAACTCATACAAACGATGCCCAGTTTGATCCAATCGGTGTAACAACGCTAGGAATGCTTGCTTTAAAGAAGTTTGCACTTAATCGTGCATATTTTTACCCAGCCGCATTGGATAAAAATTGTACTCCAGAAGTGTTCGTTTCAATTACAGATGTGTAACTACTAATTATTTACTCTTCTGGTCAACTATGAATTCAATTTTACATTATTTTCTTTTTAAATCAAAATTAGATGTAAATGCACCGAGCATCGTTCGAGCCACAAGGTACGGAGAAATCATTTTTGTCGAAATGCAGCAAATTCCTACACACCTGACACCTTTATTCGAAGGACACATATATTGTAAGACGGACACATACAGCATGATATCTTGGAATGGATATTACGGAAGAATCAACCTTGTACGAGGTTCTGATTGTAATCTGTTTGTTCGAGAAGTACTTGACGATGGAATGTCCGCGTTCAGTAGCGGAGGGATGATCCCTGACGATTCAAGTAAGTTGATGGAAACAAGCGCAGAATCAATTTACCCTGTGGTATTCTCAAGACTTATTTTACTTTACATAACATAGCTATTGAGTGACATGATCGGGCTAAAAAGATGTCTTCTACAAATAGGCAGAATAATAAAGAGCAACCGTGGATTTTGATCACTGACGATACGTGCCATTGAAGTTAAAACAGTCTGACAAAAAATCATGTCCAGCGCATTGGCAACTATAAAGACTGTCAGATAGCTCAGCATTTCTCAGTAGCAAAGTTGGAATAATCCATTTGATTTTCACAGGCACTGTTGATAATCTGAATGTTCACATATCTAACCCTGACAAACGGGATACAAAACGTTTTCACTGCTGACGAGTCCCAAACAGGATGAAACATCTGTCAACCCCGCTTCTTGTGGTTTATCACTAATCTTTCCATAGTTAAGCACTTCGCTTTTTTCAATAATCTTCGTTGGATAGCTAGATCAAGGTAAAAAGAATGGTCACTGAAACCCACTAACGAATTCACCATTTGATGCAACACCATTTTCATAAGTGATATGGAAAATATTGAAAGCCTAATAGGACATGAATCCGATATACTGAACGGAACACTCTTATCAGTGACAAAAGCCTGATGGGGACGATGGAATTTCTTGTGGAAACATATCCGCAATCAATCTAAATTGACAGGCACGATCTATTGCAATGGAACAGTTCATACAGGAATCGTTATTGACTACTTGGATGGAGCTATTATGCTTAGAAAGACCGGTTTCTAATTCGGAAGCAGACTAGCATCCTTGTTGTTTTGCCTACAGTTAAAAGAAAACTGTTCAACAATCATTCGAATGTGATTATGTTGAGTGAAAACACCTAACATTAGGAAGGAAAATATTTAAGAAACCTTCTTGTCTTAGGTAAACCTAACGGAAATTCCGAATGCGAAAAACTACAGGTGACTGTGGTCAAGCGTTTAAGGTTACCAACCCTATTACCGACATCTACTTTTCTACTTTTCGTCATGCTACAAGGCAGATCTTTGATTGTCCATACGGAATGAAAACGACTGTCAACACGCTATCGGGCAGATGCACTTGGCACCATAAATACACAACCTTTTCCCACGAGGCCCCAACGTATGACGACATATCTATTTTATAAGATAATTTATAAAACTGTCTTGCATGATACATATTTTGAGGCCTAGACGAAAAAAGCAAGACAAGTCTGATCTTTGGGGTAATTTGTGAGCATTCAGCTTATTGAAATCGATGGAAACAACCGTTGCCACTGAGCTACTAGTGATAAAAAGAACACTGGCTGATGAACAGCCGATAGATAAATGATTTCCCCATTCAGTCAAATACAGTCACAAACTTCAGTGCTAATCTCTTCCATCTTGAAATAAATAGTTACCATAAGTAAGGAGTAATACAGTTTCGGTTAACCTTCCAATACTGTTTTGCTGTTGAACAAAGCATACCTCATTTGCCCAGGATGAATAAAAAATTACAGGGGCGAATAGAATACCAATCCCTATTTGTGAAATATCATCCTGTTATCTTGTAACATGCTGCTCAACGTGAACGTACACTATGAAATGGGAATCCTATTCAAAATCGTTTATTTAGTCCTCGCGCACAATTGTTCGTGCTCCACTGATGAACAGGTATATGAAAGTAATGGATTCAGGTTGTGAAAGCTTTCAACCGAGACATCCCGTAGGCTAGTGCTGGGATGAGCGATGCGTGAATCCCGCAACAATATCTTCACGATGGGTTGTGCTTTATCGTGTAAATATAAAAATGTGAAACGGTGTGATCAGGTGACCGAGTGAGATCCCCGGTTCCCGATCCCCAGTCGTGGGTTGATGGATTCGCTCACTGCTGCTGCTGGAACTTAACCAGGTCGAAATAGCTGGGCAGCCGTGCATCCTAGCTTTTTAGTTCTCGCTTCATTAGCTCTCTCTGAAAATGGAGATGTTCAGACATATTACCATTGCTTTTATCCAATACTATAAAGAGCAAAGTTTTTAACGTGTTGCCCTTTAAAACCATTTCGTTTCATGATGTTGAGAGTTGATGGGTTAGTAGTTGTCACATAAAATCACCCGTCTGATGGCTCACAGCAAATTAAATGTCAGTTAGTATGCAAATACAATAAGCTCGGATTGGAACTGGATAGAAGTTTGTGTTAGTATTGTTGAGTATTATTGAGTAAACAAACACAGACATGGTTGCTTTTATTCTATTCATGGTCAGAGAGCTTTCATGACTCTATAGAACGAGGCTTCAAAACGTGCACAAATGCTTAGCAACGATGNGTGCGCGCATCTAGACTGCGAGCACTGCCGCGTATTCTTACAAGGTTTACATTCTTTTGCAGTCGAATAATTCACACACACAACCACAAGAACAAACAAAATGCTCCAATATGTCTATGGAATTTGTCGAATAGTTGGTATTTATTGATTTGAACTGATCGTCCTTCGGACTTCCCCTTTACACACAATCGTCAGTTAGTCAAAATCACTACAGTTTCGAGTATCACTCTTATTAGAACTCACCAGTAGTGCATATTCACCGGCCCATCCGGGATTTGAACCGCGGACCCATCGCTCATGTGAGTGATCAATCTAGCGTTGTAGGTTCGTCATCAAATCAGTCCGTAACTTGCACGAAAGTTCTGATCTGGTGGGAGGTTTCGATTGGAGTTAACAGATTGCCATTTGTGTCTCCTTCGTTACTGTTGGACCAAATAAAATGACTGACTATCACTGTAGACGACACCTGAGGAAACATGACAGTCGCTAATTTGGTTCAGCTATGGTATGAGCTCATTGGCACCATGGTAACTCAGACCTCCTACATGGGATGGGTCCGCAGTTCAAATCCCGGACGGGACGGTTGATATGTGCCCTAATAAATTGCACTGTAGTTTCATAGCCACTTCTTTTGAAAAATTGATGACCTCATCAAGTGAATTTCAAACTTGTTTTCCCCCTTACCACAGATGGTGTACACTTTGATATCACACCAGAAAATTTCGGATTTTTCATCAAGTTAAACACGGAAAGAAACGTTCTTATCTCCTACAAAAATACCATCACGCAGAAGAAGGAACAATTCCAGATGAGTAGCTCGAAACAATTGACTGATTTGGACAGATGCACACCCTATATTTTTGAAGGACGTTTTGCTGAGCAACCGTATAGCACACCGTGGCAATCTGTCACTATCGTCACCGAACCGGAGGGTAAGGCGTGCTTTGCTATCTATGTCAGTGTAAACGCAACCAAAAATCGGAGTCATCAGTGATACATCAAAGTGCTATGCTAAATGCTGAACCAATAGATCTGTACCCATTTCTTTCAGACCATGCGAGAAATTATAACTGTCAAAAATATTTTTTTGTTTGTTTGAGTGAAGTAGGAGGAGTCATTTTACAGTCGTTTAACTGTTCGGTGAAAGTAACTATACAGGTCTTTTTGAGTGTGGGATTATATAAAGCTCACGTCTAACTGACTGAGGAAGGACGAATTCATTGTATACGTTTATGTGTGTATTATCATATATAATCATCAACTCAGTCGGAGGTGGTGGTTGACGAATTCCTATAGGTGAGTTGTTGAACTTCTTGTTAGTTTTCATGATCATGACGAACTACTTCTTAGTAGAGATAAGGAAATGCAATATTTGAATGCGATAGAAGCTCAAAGATATGTTCACAAATCCACTCTTGCAGTACTTGTGCTTCACACAATTAGATATTTTTATTGTGATACTACTAACTTCGCTAAACGAAGCCGTCGAGCTTTTGTCTGTTCATTGATGCATTGATGTAGCTGAATTAGTGGACAAAACTTTCCGTGAAATATATGTCCAGTCTTGCAGCTACCCATATGAAATTTCCTAATAACATTTTACCATGTCATTCAAACACATGTGCTTTCCCATTAAACACCAATTTGCAGCGTGCGGTGTACCTTTTCAGACAAGTTATATCTAGCCACTAAATTAATGAATAATTGTTGCGAATCGACATTACTATGAAAAGAACAAATATATTGAGTACAACACAAAATAGTCAACCAATACCACATACGCGTAAATGGAAAGCCACAAGAACCTCGAAACCGGTCACGCGTGCCAAAGAAAAGTTTGTCGAGTTGTTTCAAAACAGATACATCCAACAGTACATGTCACATATATATATATATATAATGTAATTTTAATCCGCTGTGCCGCTTCTCCATCCTCGGTCGAATTGTATAGACAGACTCACGTGTGATTGAAAATTATTCATGATATAAGTCCAAATCATTTTCAGCTATTAAATCATTTTGTAGTTACTATTGGGAGTGAAGTAAACCTGGTAAAATTTCCATATCGTCGCAGTGTGACAAAGAATTAGCTTTCATCGAATCGGCCAAAGATATACGAAAGACACGGCAAGCTTAGAATCAGGGGTTCATTGACAGAAAAACCAGACATTTCAAACGGTCTATCTCTAGCCCCGGATGTAATGCACTTTTTCCATTAAATTTTAGTCAAAACCGGCAGCCATTTAGCCTCGACCCGTAATCCGGCGCACATGTACTACAGTCACCTCTCCCCCACGGAATGGTCGTAGTTGCATACTATTAGAAAAAATTCCGAAGGCGAACAATTGCTTTCTAATGTTTCATGATCGTTCCAGTACAGATCCTGTAAAGGAACGTTATTAGTGACGACACATTTTCACGCCGGGTCGAAACGTCATTCGGGTGGAAAGAGGGGAGGGGTGGGGTAAACCCTGTGCCTGTGTTCGGGTGAGATCGATTGTGCTTAGAGTGTTCGTGTTAGTGATGAGGTCGATGGTCAGTTTGTGGTCGGGATAAGTGAAAAGCTTGAACCAGTCGCTTTTGTGTGCATAGCTCTGTGCGAGCATGTGAAAGCCTATCGCCTCAGCGGTAGCTAGAGTGATGGTGGTAGGCACATGACTACTCATAAGTAGCATCAATATGGTTATATGCATTGTCTGAGCAGAAGACATTTAAAAAATTGTTTTTAATGAACAGAACCAAGAATCAACATGGTATCGCTCCCTGATATGTTGGAAAAAGGTTTCGATATCCATTTCTAAATTAGACGACGAAAAGTGGAACCAGTGGCTTCATTGAACTTCATCTCTTGACAAGGGATCCCGCGACTTATTCCAACCTCTTCTTTATTCGGCTTTAGTATGCCTCCATGTTATTCGTATGGACACCTGAGGCGTGAGTGACAAACCCTCGGGAATGGTTCATGGTCACATGAGTATGACCCGGTGAAGACAGCATCCTCTACGCTACCCATTCACAGGAATTCATATTTGACCCTAGTGCGATCCACCGTTGAATGAACTGCGGAAGCACGCTTGCTGATCGATTCTCCACCCGTTCAAATAGGTCTTTCTCTTGAAAAACAGCCAAACAGTCCTGCAAGCTTAGGTAATTTCAACCGGTAGTCCCACGGCCGTATTCTCTTTTGGTAACGCCTATTTCATCGATTTTTCTATCATCGAAAAACAAATCCATTCAGGGCTCGACTGAATTCCAGCGTGCTTACATACATAGATACATACATACATACATACATACATACATACATACATACATACATACATACATACATACAACATACATACATACATACATACATACATACATACATACATACATACATACATACATACGTACATACATACATACATACATACATACATACATACATACACACACAAATACGCTCCCGCAGGAGAACAAACTTCATATCTGCTAAATAACAATTTGAAGTTATAAACACCCACGACCAAACTTGTCTATTTTATGACGGATTTGGTATGCTCAACTCGATGAACATTATCATGAAAAAAATGTAAAACATTTAACTTAAAAATGAAAAGAGTACAGTGAGGATGATTGTCGTCCAGGTGCATCCGTAATCCTTTAGACTAGATGCACAACTTCAAATCATACCGCTGTATGCGATTCAGATCAAAATGTGTCAGAATATTCAACAAATTTTGAAACATTTTATTTTCTACAAATATTGCTCATGCACATCTTGAGTAAGAAATGAGCTGTGGCGATTCTATGTTGCTCAGTGGACCGTCTTATTGGTATCCATTACCATCCTACATATTGTTTGGAGGAAGTTTAAAAAATGTATACGTATCATCAAACAATTTGGCATATCTCGTATTGTCTCAGTGTTTTCCGTGAACCACTTTTTAATGTGCTAAACAACAAGTGAATTCAAGAATTATGAATGCCCACCTGCGAAAATTTATTGAAGACTTCTTCCAGCGGGTTAATCAAGAAACTGTATGGTGGAAAAAACGAATTTGGAGCTTGTCATATAACTGCACATCCAAAGCCGTCCGAGAATCGAGCTCATTCACAAAGACAAACAATGGAACACCCGGTTGCTCAGCACCGATTAATGTGGAACAGTTTGATAGAAACTAATCAAAAGCATGTTGAGTTATCGTTGTATGCAATTCATAGTTCCAAATTCCGGCGACATCTGAGCATAGTATTATGGTAAAGCTAAGGCCTTTGCCGGATGGGAGGCTTCAAACATCTTTGCGGTCCACTTTGGACCGCTCATAACTGCGACAGTACCGTATGTTGTAAATGGCCTCGTCAATATACAACCTCGCAGTTGAGTTACCCGATCCCTGTAACCAATCGGTGATTCTGTTCAGCTTGCTATGACAGCTCCCGAATTCCGTTCCACGGGTAGGATGGTTAGCTTGTTAATCGAATAGTAAATTCTATGTGGCATTCGGTCAATTGAAGTTTCTCTGATAGATGTGCCCCAAACGTCCTTCTCCATTCGTTCCTTTGACTTCCATGTGGTACTACGGTTCTCATCTACAACATCACACAAATGTTTTTTGAAGTATTCCTACTAGTACTATTCCCACCAGGGCTTGTCATTCCGCAAGCTCTAGTGTGGGTATTAGACCAAACAGAATTTTTCGATATAAGACTGAAGATTCATCACAGGTTCAAATCGTAGTCATCTCACTTACTACTTATTACATCACTTGCATCACAGTAATTTTTCTAATCTAGGCAAATACTGTATTTTCAAGGAATTCGGATGGAAAAAATTGACTCTGTCCTAACACCCTGGCCGTTACCTCACCTCGGTTTGATAAATGCAGTGTGAAACAACTATATATTGATTGTGGAAAGTATTTTCCATACATATTGCAAGATAACACAGAGTAGTGAATCCGCTCGTTTGCGGTGATTCTTCTACCTGTTAATACATCACAATTTATATCAAACTGTTTATAAGGGGGGACAGAAATCATGATATGTTAGAAAAGAGATAATCAACATTCAAGTTCTATGATCAGATGTTGCTCACACATTGGTCCTCACACATACGCATTGGTTTGGATCATAAGGGATTGATGGTGGAATGGCTGTGTCGTGTGGTAAGTGATTGATCAAAAATGGTCTCTATTGGTCCGTATAAACACAACCACCTGCCCTAGAACATACGGACCCGTGTTTAGATCCAAACCGGAAACAATGGAAATCAAACTAAGAACAACTGGATAAGAAAAGTACCATGATCGTTCACCAAGATGAAGTTAAGTGGCCGATTTCCGTGGGTTATTTCTGCAAACCTCTTGGTTATTCCAAGAGACGAATCCTCGACTAAATCATTCTTAAATCCAAGGTATCACTGTTCTGTTTCTTTTCCACACGAGAACGGTTGTGAGTTCTTCGATTTGCTAAATTGAACTAAATGTAATTTCTGCCTTTCTGCATACACGCTCAACATTAACCGATTGAAGAGAGAGATTTGAAATGTTACCCTTTATCATTGGCAGGTTATTTGATACGAATCTCTCGGATACAAGACACAAGCTACACATCTGCATTATTTCGGAACGATAGTCCTAATCTTAGTCAAACTATCTGAGCACTTCCCCGGGCTCAGTCACTAACCCATCCCGGGTTACAACTAACCCTCTT